AGGTAGTACAGAGTCTGGATGTAGTCTGTTTCCCTGGCATGGCTTGGGTCCGGGTCTAGGTTCCTTGACAAATTCAAACAGTTGAGTCTATCCATGATTTATTCTTTCCTTTGTAGTTAATTACATTGATTTTATATTTAAATTAATACTCCTTCTATTTTTATTTATAAAAAAAATATTATTTTTAATTTATTTTTTTATATAAGTAAAATTATATTTTTTAATAGGCATTTATTACAAACTTTTTGAATTACCCTCATAATTTTATCATTTATATTTATAAAAAATAATTAATAAAGACTTAATTAACACAATTAATAAAGAATATTGTAGTCTAATTTTTTTATCTTCAGACAAAATTAATATAGTTAACTGATTTTTTTAAATTGTGTAATATAATTTTTTTCATACAAATAGAAATGAAGGGAGTATCTATTTATTTATTAGATTATTTTGGCCAGAATAATAGCTTTCAAATTTATTGAAACTAAATAAACAGTCTCTAAATTAATAATTAATAAATTAGTAAATTTTTCCCTAACAATTAAGTAGCTAGATTAATAAATGGAAAACAAATAAAAGCAAAAGCCATTGTACAAAAAAGGGGAGTTTCCCTTACTCTCTATTTCCCTTCATTTATGTTCATCATTTTAGATCAAAATTTTAACAGTTTGATTTAACATTTGATAAAATTATTATTTTAATTTTATATAAAAATATATTAATAAATTTGTACTATTAAAATTTGATCTAAACAATTTAAAACTATAATATTTTATTTATATATTTTATGAAAAAATATAATAATAATTTTATTAAAAATTAAATCTGAACTGTTGAAAAGTTTTGATCTAATAATAATGAAAAAAATGAGAGAAATGGTGAGTAAGGAAAAAGGAGCCACTCCTCTCCCAATCGGTCTGTAATGTAGATCATTTTCAACATACATGTTGCATGTTAAAGAAATTGAATTATTTTTTAAATATCATGAAAACTTGACTTAATTTTTTTTTTCATATTTTCCCTTGTCTACAACTAACACTCACATCCAATGCATAATTATTTAATACACATAAACCAACAAGAGAATAAAAATATAAAGAAATTTCTTGAAGTACTTAATAACTTTTAGAAAATATCTTGCATTATGTTTGGGCTTAAAATAAAGGAATGTTTGATTATAACTTAGAAGTATGAAAGAGGAAATGTCAAGCTCAATAAACCATCCACTAAAATAAGGTTCGATCCATTTAAAAAGAGATCTTTCAAACTAAATAAGCACTAACCCATGAAAGAAACGTGATCTTTAAAACTTGAAGCGACTGAGCTAAGAAAACTATTATTTAAATGGGAGACCGTTACTTGAACATCCCTAAATCTTGCAAGATTGTACTTAGCATGAATAGATATCTTAGCACAAAGCATTTAGACTCTTTATTGTGCGAACATAATGGTCTCAACCTAACATTATAAATAAAGTTCTAAAAAAAAAACAAAGAAAGCAGCAAACAAACAACAAACACACAATCTAAATACTTTATTACTCAAATTTATCTTTTATCATTTTGTACTCAAAAGTTAGATCTTCTTTCCTATTTTATTGTAGTTCTGTAATTCAGTAGCCTTACACCATTAATCAAAACTACTTTTTTTTTACTATTTATTGTATCTTTGTATTTGAACAAATTAAGATAAAAAAATTTAAGAGCTTTTAATTATATTGAAATTTTATATCTTTAGCATGCCTAATAATTATATTGTTCAAATATCAAGAACAATTTGTGTGCTGAGGGAGTGTAACTGAAAATGAGTGATTTTTGGAAAATAAAAACATGAATGTAACTAAAACTTGTAGTGACAAATTAGGAAAGAGAAGCAAGCAACGAGAGAATAAGCTAGTAGCCTAGTAAGGGGACAATTGACTTGGCCACGTGGACTTGTCTTGTCTTGAAGCTGAAGCATTTATTAACGGAGGAAATGCAGTGAACAGGGACAAATAGGAATAGGGTTAGGCAAAAAACCATAATTTATTTTTGTGACAGAAAGAAGCAGTCTCAATGGAAGATCCACATCCTGATATTGTTCACATCGAACATTTTATTTGAGTTCAATCGGTCCAGTGCCATCCCCATCACCCAGCTATTTGCCTTTATTTTCCTTTACATTCTTAAATATCAACCCTTTTTATTGTCACACATTCTCCTTCCATTTTCAAAAAAAAAAATAATTCATACAGTTTTAAAAAAAGTTGATTAAGTATAATAATTATATCTGAAATAAAAGAATTTAGACTAAAATATCCTAGTAATTAATGAAAAAAATTAGTATGGTTATAATAAACATTAATTTTACAAGGGATAATTTGAAAAAAAATATGATAAATACTTCTTAAAATTTGTGATTTTGCTTATAAATAAAAATAAAGACATAGTTTCTCTTATATTAAAAAATAGAGGGAGTATGAGGTATATTTGGTCAATTTTTGCCATGTTGTAAAGGCTCAGTAAACAAGTTATACTACTTCTAATTTATGGGACATTGGACTCAGTTTACTACTTGATATTAGTATGCTGGTGAACGATATTAGCACATTAATCAAATTTGTTATATATTTTCTTTCTCGTTTTATTTATAAAAAACTTTTAACATATTTTATTATAATCAATGAAAACCTTAAACAATATTAAATCTGTCTTAAAATTTAATAATTTTTTACCTCTACTCCTAATAAGGACAAAAAAATATTTTTAATAATTTTTTCTAACATTTAATAAGGATAGAAATGAAAAAATAAACATAAAAAATAGTGAAATGCCTTATAAATATAATCAAAATTAACCTTATTTCTTCATCTTATAAATAAGATCAAAAGAGCATATACCATTCTAGTTTCTATTATAAAACACATCTAAGCACTTTGCAAAAACTAACAAAAGATATTTAAGTTATTAATTTTATTTGAAAATGGACTAAATTTTTTATTTTACTCATTTAAATGAAAATTTTTTCTATTTATATTATACTTTCTCTCATAGTTAATAACTTTAAATAGAGATAATATTAAAAAAATCTAATGAATATCTTATCAAATGACTTATAATAAAGACTAATATGTATCTTTTTTAATAAAATACCTTAAAAGAAATGAGTTTGGTCCGTGTTTGTAGTAAGCCCAAACCTAACAAATTATGTAAAAGTCCAAAAAATTTTGGTCTCCTATCTTATTTTTAGAGCTTAAAAAAACATTTATTTTAGAGAAAGTGGCTTTTAGAAAAGTTTAAGATAGTCAAGAAGATGAAAAGCTGATGTGTATAACTACAGAAGTGACTAATGACATGATCATAATTTAACGTGGATGAAATGGGTTCCCAAGACAGAGGAAATGATGAAACAAAGATCTCACTACATGTATCACTATAGTGACACTTGCCTCCACCAACGAGGTAAAAAAAAGACACTAATATTTCATATAGTTATTATATATGTTACTTGAAACAAAAAATTATACATATCCGCAAAAAATTTAGGTCTAGTAAAAAAAGTTAGTCTGTCATAATATAATGAATCAATATTCAAATCTTTGCTATGCTCACATGTAATATATGGCCCCGCTTTGGATATGATTATTTCATATATAATGTCTCATGTGAGTGATAAAAAAAGTATCATTCAACCAACAAGAATACAATTAACAAAAGGAGCTAGCTCTTTGAAATATGTGAACTAAAATTCAAATCTCTATTAATAGAGATGTCCACATTTAATATCTAGACTTGCCTCAAACAAAAATATCTCTAATCAAAAAATACCTATGTGTACTAAAAAAGTTAGTTGATGTTTATAATATAGGATGTTGATAATTATTTCAAAGTTCTTAAAAATTAGTTGATGTATCAATCTTTTAAAAAATGTATGTGCTTTTAATTATGATTTCATTAAATAATTCTTACAAGTGCTTCAATAATGAGAATTAAAATTTTAATTGACTATTTCTTCAAAAGAACATGAAGTAAGTACCAGATGTCATATATTTTAAGTTAAACAAGATTATAAAAGCTATCAAATATCATATATTTTAGAATAAGTAAAATCTCTAAAAAATATTATAAAATTATGTATAAAGAGAATAGAATGACACAAGTATTTGGATGAGCCTAGCAAAGTATCATTATTATCAATTAAATCACAATTAATATGGAAAGAAAAAACTCAAAAGTTGACGAAAAGTAATCATTACTAATGACAAAAAAGACTAATAATTAATTAGCTCTACATCATTTCCCACACTGAATTTCTAATTCTAATGAAAACAACTTTGTGTTCTTCCACAGTAGAAACAGCCTTGAAAAGTGAAAGCCCACTCAAGTTGTGTAGTAAAACTACAGGAACAACACTGCAAAAGACTGTGTTTTTATAAAAGGTTAATGTTAATTGGTGTTGATGACTCCAAACGGTGAAAGAGATAGTAAGTATTTTATCAAAGAAATTGAAAGACAAAACTAAAATTAGGAGAATTGAATGCTGAGAATAGGACAGATATCTTCCCTACCGTTTCATGTACCATATTCATCCTTCAACACTAGTCATTTCTCCTTCTTCCAATTGTCTGGTCTGCTATTGCTTTGAGGAGCCAAATTCGGAATCAGCAGGAAGTGGAATCTCTTTGGTCCGTACTCAACTGAACAAAACAAATAAAAAAAATAATGATAATGTAATAAAATAAATAAAAAAGTGTGGGGGAAAAGTGAATTTTCTAACATGATAGGAAATAATAACTGAAAAATAGCGACGAGTCTCCGATCAACTTTCTTGTTTTTTCCTCGCCAATGTAATGTAATAGTTTAACAGCAGCGTTTCCTCTGAAAATCTGAAAACAACCGATCCTGCAAAAGTACTAACGGAATTAAGCGGATTTTTCCTTTTTTGGATCAAATTCGGGCATTGAGTTTGGAGTTGGATTCAAAATCTTTCCCTTCTTTGCCTTTTGTGTCATGTTGCAGAGATGGTTACTGAAACGCGACGCAACAGTACAAAACACGAACCTTGACAGATATTTCTCATCTGGGTATTCATGGATGAAGGCGAATGATAGGCTATAAGAAGAATGAGCCGATAACGATAACTCGAAGCATTATTTCTGAGGCTTGGGAAGCAACGGTTAACAAACAGAGTCTTCGGTTAAGGGAGAAAACAAAGTAATCGTGCCAATGTCTGTGGATAATGACGACGAAGATCATCTGCCGGGAGAAATCTATCACGTCGAGAAGATTCTCTCCAATGGCGATTTCTATACTGGCCAATGGGGCGATCATCTTCCTCAAGGTCAAGGAAAGTACTTGTGGATTGATGGGTGTATGTATGTGGGTGAGTGGGAAAAAGGCAAGACCCATGGTAATGGAATGTTTAGTTGGCCAAGCGGGGCAACATATGAAGGTGAATTCAAAAATGGTTATATGGATGGTGTAGGTACTTACATAGGTTCATCTGGAGATACCTATAAAGGGTCTTGGGTGATGAATATGAAACATGGGAAAGGGACAAAAAGCTATCCAAATGGTGATTACTATGATGGGGAATGGAGGAAGGAGTTTCAGGATGGTCATGGGAGGTATCAATGGAGGAAAGGGAATTATTATATTGGACAATGGAAGAATGGGAGGTTCAATGGGAATGGTTCAATGATGTGGACAGATGGGAACAGGTATGATGGTTTCTGGGAAGATGGCTTGCCTAAGGGGAATGGAACATTCAGATGGGCTGATGGGAGCTTCTATGTTGGGGTTTGGAGTAAAGATCCAAAAGAGCAAAGTGGGACTTACTACCCTGCAGGTTCTACTTCTTCTGGTCATAAAGATTGGGACCCTCAAGAGGTTCTTTCTGCTGTTTTGAATGATTGTGTAGTGTACCCTTGTGACGATGTGCCAATTTATCCTTCAGAGAAGAGGTTAAACTTGCCTGAGATGATGGCTATGTTGCAGTCAGTATCTAAGAAGGGACATGATGGTGGGAGGACTAGGTGGATGTCTGCGGATGCAAGGCTGAGTAGTTATGGCAGTGAAGAATTCCATCGTAATTCTGATGTGGAAAGGAGAGCAAGTACAGAAAGTACAGGGAGTTTTCAGTTTGAAGATGCTGTTTCAAGAGGGAATAAACCGCCACATTTGAGACTAAAGCCTCCCAAGAGACAGGGGGAGGCTATATCCAAAGGGCATAAGAACTATGACCTCATGCTCAATCTGCAGCTAGGAATCAGGTACTGATCAGAGCTTTTATTCTCCCTGTATTTTAATGACATCTCAGTTTCAGTTAAGCTTTCAATCTTCATATTCTGTCATTTTCTTCTGCTCCTAAAATTTGGAGTGATAGCTTGTATCTGCTAAAATGAGTTTTTGCCAATGATACGTGTGTACGATGACATTGTGTGATTTAAATACAACTTTTCTTTTATGATTCTGATATTCACTACAAGGTTATTAATTTCTTGTGCCATAGCACAGACATTCTGTTGGAAGACCTGCTCCAAGTGCATCCCTTGATTTGAAGCCTTCTGCATTTGATCCCAATGAAAAAGTGTGGACCAAGTTTCCACCAGAAGGATCAAAGCACACACCGCCTCACTCATCTTGCGAGTTTAGATGGAAGGATTACTGCCCAGTGGTGTTCAGGTCAGGCTTCAGACAAAAATGTCAAGATTGTATTGACTTTGTTTATACAGAAAATGTGTTTAAGTTAGGTGAAATGTTTTTTTGCAGTATGAACTGCTGAGTGCTAACTTGTTGAGACTGCAATTGAAATTATATAACCTTTTATCTGGAGGCAATAAGAGATTGGTGATATGCTCTAAAAGAGAATGTGTCTGTAACACAAACACTAGGAACGTGTGGAAACACTCCTAGTTGTACTTGAAGTTGCAATTGTTTCATAAGTCATAATATTAACATTACTGATAGTGTTAACTTTGTTTGTCAGAATACCTTTTTCGGTAAATATGTGAGACAATTGTTCATTACTTTTTATATTTTCAGGGCTCTTAGAAAATTGTTCAAAGTAGATCCAGCTGATTACATGTTATCGATTTGTGGGAATGATGCCCTTCGTGAGCTCTCATCCCCAGGAAAAAGTGGAAGCTTTTTCTATTTGACCAACGATGACCGATACATGATAAAGACAATGAAGAAGGCTGAAGGAAAAGTGAGTTACCTTGAAATTGGCTGGATCTGATATAACGAGTTCTTGAATTTCTCCAACAATTTGGAAGCAGAATCATTACCATGCCCATCAAGAGTTATAAAGTTTTGCCACTTACATTATGTGTATGTAAATTTACAAAATCAATGTGAATGCATTGAAGGTCAACAAATACCACATATTTGTAAAAATGTTTTGTGAACTTGGTAATTCTTTTGTATGTAAACCACTTTAAAAATTATTTCAAATTTATTAAAGGTTACCATCACACCTAACTTTGATGCGATTATTTTCTACTGTTGCCTGCATAGCGAAGGCAATCTATCTGCTCGATAAATCTCGACTTCATGATGTGATTGCAGGTTCTCTTGCGTATGCTTCCTGCATATTACAATCATGTTCGGGCTTTTGAAAACACTCTAGTGACCAAGTTCTATGGTCTCCATTGTGTTAAACTAACAGGATCTGCACAGAAGAAGGTAATACATAAGTGTGAATAAACTGTTACTTTCATGAAAATTTTTTACTTTCTAATACCTTATAAATTTCAGGTACGATTTGTCATCATGGGGAATCTATTCTGTTCTGAATTTTCCATTCATAGGCGCTTTGACTTAAAGGGCTCTACCTTTGGTCGTACAACTGATAAACCTGAGTCAGAAATAGATCCAACAACCACCCTTAAAGACCTTGACCTAAATTACATTTTTCGGTTGCAGAAGGACTGGTTTGAAGAATTTTGCATGTGATTCTCTTGCTTACTACTTTGATCCCTTCATTTGTGTTTGTTTGTGTTTGTGTGGATGCGCACATTATGTGTTATGGAGGACACTGCATAATCCAATTGTTTGCCTCATACTTGATAGCTGCTTTCTTAAGGGTATCACTTATGACTTTCGGAGCTCAGCTTTCATGAAAATGGAAATGAGATCAGAGGTTTACAAATAACTGATTGAATATAAATTATAGCTGGCATAAAATGTCTTATATTCATTTCTTTAAATTATAAGATAAAAGGGTCATACCAATTACTGATCATATTGGAATGAATCTCACATCCCTGAAATGGTTGTACTGTTGTATAAAGTACAAATTGGCTGCATTTTTCACTCCTACATTTGTGCACTTTAATATGGACTCACTGGCTTGACTTGAAATATATGGAATATTTGGAAGGTAGTTTGTTTTATTTTCTAAGCATGCCTTCATGCAGGCAAGTGGATAGGGACTGTGACTTACTTGAACAGGAAAGGATAATGGATTATAGTATGTTGGTTGGTCTTCACTTCCAAGAAAAACAATCTTATAGAGATTCTCTTACACCTACCCGTACTTCAGGAGGTTTCACTCCTAAAGGTTATTACTTGTGCTTTTTTTTTTTTTTTATGTTCAATATGAATCTTTGCTAAATATATGAACATATCTTGCAACAGACGGACAATTTGACAATGGTGGAACCCCTCGTCTTTCAATAGCAGATAGAGATAAGCTTCTCATAAGTCCTAGTCGGTATGGTCTTTCAACACATGCTGGTAGAAGTTTCCGTCATTTAATAACACTCCAATTTTGATAGCTAAGTGTTCAGTCAAATCATCCGGAACCCAACTAGGCCTATGCTTGTTTTTGACAGTTTACTTATCTATTTTAATGAGGAAAACTATTCCTTGGTTTCTTAGCTGGTTGTTATGACCTTTTTATCTCTTAACAAGATATTACGAGTGGAGTAACTTTTTCAAGGAGTCAATGATGTGATGTTGAGTTCTAAAATGTTTGTATGTTTCTTTTTTCTTTTTTTTTTCCTAGTGGGAAAAAACAAGCTTCAGTAACTCACAAACCTTGCTCTTTTACTAGCTCTAATTCAACAAGCATGGGGATAGCCCTGTTCAACTCGACGTGGCTGTCTAACTCTGCTTTGCTTCTACTGAATTTAACATTGATACTTTATCTGTTGTTCACCTCTTAATTTTTCCCTGATCTGCATCAATACAGGTCCTTCATCAACTTATAAAAACTTTCACTATTCACTTTGATTCTCTCCAGCCAAGAATTGTTTGTTTTTCCTCTGCTTGCAATGCTGTGATTCTGATCAGGAAGAAAGTTGGATGCATCTGCATGCTGCAATTATTAGGTGTTCACCATCATGTTTGCTAATAAGATTATAACTGGTGGAAGAACTTTATTGGACAAGTTGATATAGCAACTCCTAAAGAACTAGGTTTAATCATGTCCTGATAATTAATGGAAATAACATTTTTTCATAAAATATTAAGCATTGTGTTTCCCGTTGTAGGTTGCCATCCATTCAACTAGGTATAAACATGCCAGCGAGGGCTGAACGGACTGTGAGAAGCAATGAGGGTGAAACTCCTCAGCTGGTTGGAGAACCAACAGGGGATATTTATGAAATTATAATCTTTTTTGGCATCATAGACATATTACAAGACTATGATATTAGTAAAAAGCTTGAGCATGCTTACAAAGCAATGCAGTATGATGCAACTACAATCTCTGCTGTTGATCCTGGATTATACTCAAAACGCTTTCGAGATTTCATCTTCAAAGTTTTTGTAGAAGACACTTAAAGGGTAAAGTTTTTATGCTAATCATTCAACTTTCAGCAAGAGGTCATCCAAGCAAGAGGCATTTACGGCAATTACTCCAGTAATCAGCACATTCATACCCATTTTGGCCACAACTGCACTGATAGGAGGGTGTTTTATGAGTGCCAGGGGATGCAGAACACATCTGAATGGACCTAGGTCTAATTATTTTTGGCAGTTGCATCAGGATCTTCAACAGAAACATAACAAATGAAAGACATTTTCTAAAATAATTTATGAGGAAAAATTTTGTGTTCACTATCTGCATGTGCATGCAATGGTCCAAATTTAGTCTACAAATTTGGAGGCTGTGTTAAGATTGTGCTGATTCAATTGAGTCATTGTATGTACATACATGTGGTGAAGATACACATACTTTTGTTAGAAAACCTCAGAAACTGCTAGAGAAGGGCACTGGAGTTTTTTTTTTTTTTTTTTCTCTCTTGTGAAAATTGTGCATTCCCCCTCTAGTCATCATACGTTTGTTTTGTGAAGGTCATGATAATTATAGTGACAGGAAAATTATTTGTTGTATTCAATGTTGTAGAGCCACCCTAGCATATTGCAATTTGTAAATGAATCAACCAAAAAGGGTAAAACCAGTATTAGAAATCATTCTTTTTGGTGGCCATTTGTTCCCAGGGGAATCTCGGGGGTTTTTTGCACTGAATAAAAATGTACAGAAGATGAAGAGGGGTTTAGTTTGTATGTATGAAACATTTAGATTAATCATCTTGTTTTCCTTGGAACAGGATTGGGTATTCACTTTTTTGATTCAGTGAAATAGCTTACTCTTTTGTCTAATGATGCCTCCTCTTCCATGTTGTGGCCTTGTCTCTATTGTTTGTGAACAGCAAATCAGATAAGGCTTGCAAAACTCTGAAGATTGTAGTTGATGGAACTTCACGATATTTATTTGTTTTTCTTGGGTAAATTACATAGAATTCTATGAAATTTTGTAAATGTATTTCTTGTTTTTAAAATACTCAGATCTCTCTTTTGAAACAAAATGTTTTCTTTTCCTTTAGTCAAATTTCTACATTTTTTTTAATTGACACATACTCAGCTTAAATACATGATTTTTTTTTTTGGACTAAAAACACTAAATGGAGGGCATTTCATCGAATAATTTAATAAACTAAAATAAAATTCTGTCAAATCTCACATTAGCCGACCCATTGTTGATCAATTTCATTTCATTACTACTAAGATGATCAGAGATTAGAAATTAAATTGTAGTGAACATTGTCAACACATTGCAGCAACCTACAACCTATTGCCTTCAAAAGTGCTTGAAATTCTATATAAATCACATTAACCACCTGCAATATGTTTTCCAACTAATTGCAATTGGAAATATTAAGAATTTATGAATTACCATCAACAGGCAAAAAGAGCAACTTTCATTTCCGATTGCTATACTAAACATTTGATTCTTGAATATTGTGTTGTCTTTACCATGGCACATGTATCCTAAAGAATCACAATGACATTTCAATCTACCAAACGTCTTGGCAAACAGCAAAGTCCAGTTTAAATTGCAGCACAATTAAGTATGATACTCATATCCTTTTTTTTTTTTTTGGCCACATAGTCACATCCATTGTTGAGAGAAACCATTTTCGGGTAGATTGGAACTACATTCAAATAGATTCACTTGGGTGTGCTAGGATCATTATTATCATGAGTACAGGAATGTAAAAACAATACATGACCTTATCACAAATACAGCACACTCATTATTAACCAAGATGTACAATATTCGCAAACCAAAGCAAGAAAGAAAAAGAACTATTAAGATTATTCACAGGCATCAAGGCGCCAGCTAGAATAGATGCATGAGATTTTTTTCTTGTTGAGAGAGTTCTCTAGCTATGATCCCCAGCAAGAAACTATTCCCCGATCAGAACACCTCAAGAGTTTTGTTGGCATTTGTAAATCTCATGATCGGAAGTGGAAGGAGTTACTGGACACAACCTTACAGAAAAGGAGTATGGTATGGCAGGAACCAAATATTGGTGGTGCACACAAGGGGACCAGCTATCATCTCCACCCAAACCCATGTGCTTGTGGTCAAGATGAACCTGTAATATCATAGAACAAATTGAGTAGATGACACAAGTTACAAATGGAAAAGAAATAATTGCCTCAGCCATTTTTAGTAATCACAAAAGCAGAGATGATTTGCAAGCAAATTACCTCAATGTTATCTCCTTCAACAAGCTCTTCATTGCGTGTGGCCCGGCAAAGCTCTGAAGTGCTATAATAGCTTGCACTCATTTGCATAGGTGGAGAGCTACCATACCTTGAAGCATATAGTCCAAAACCATTTTTATTTCTGAATGTCACCCATCTAACATCTGCCCTGCCTGAACATTCCCCAGGGACGATATAGGGAACATGCAAGTCACTTACACTCTGCTCATAGACCCCGACATGTGCAGCTGCCTTTCTATCTGGATAACACTCAAATGGACCCTTCCATACCACCTTACTTGATCCAATGTTTTTTCCAAATTGAACTCAATTCCCACACGCGGCAACGGAGGAAGATCAGAATTTGGCTCCACATCACATTCTACAGTGATGTCCCCAGAAGCATAAATGGTATAGGCCATATTGATTTTAACAAGAATCTTTGATTTATTGTGCTCAGAAACACCGTGAAAAACCACCAATATTTTAACCAAGTTCTTTGTTGTATTCTGTATGGTACAACTGTCAGTAATGAAGTGGAGGCTGTCAAGTTGAGCAGCTTTCCACCTGGAGAGATAACTATGGGGTCCTCCTCCTTTGTCATTATCAGTAGGAGCTCGCCAGAAACTTGGTAGTATGCCTTTACCCATCAGATGAACTCCTCCAACCTAGCATTCATCAGAATAAGATTAAAACCTTTATTCAACAATTAAAATGGATTTAAAATCAAACAAGGATTTCAAGATCCCAAATTCAAGAGGACAAGCTGATTCTATAGGTATATGTTGAAACTATTTACTGGCAGTTATAGACATCCAAACTCTGAAAGTGAATTGTCAAGTTGTGTTGCTAGAAACAATTCACTAACTGGTGACGTTTAGATACTGAAAATAAACACAGAAAAGTACAGATGTATCAAGTATCCACTTCGGTTTAAATTCAAAGACCTATGCTCTTTCATAAAACATTACCCCTTGGATTAGAACATGGAGCCTCCTCAGCTAGTTTCTAAATTACACAAGCCTCCCTCAATTTTAACAAGTGACACAGACCACCGTAATTTTTGTAACATAATATGACGTTAAAGTAGCTTTTTAAATATTAAATAGGTTTGTGGAATATGTTCAGACCACAGGAGAGACCTGTATAATTTCCTCAACTTAAGAGAAACCATTAAATGCCATTATCACTTGAACTCCTATGATGACAGACACCACTGTTCTTCAAATAAATACTGAAACAAACATTAAAAAACAGACATCATCTCGTTCTATCACCAAATTATGCAAGAAGAAAATATATTTGAGGTTTCTAATGAGGAAAAATATATTTACTTTTTACTTGGTGAAGTTTACTTGGCAACTCTTGTTTGGAATACCTCGTACCAGCTACACTTATCAGAAAAATTTAAGTTACTGTTTAATTCAAGACAGGCCGTTTTGAAATTATTTTCCCAAATTTTTTTTCATGCATTTGACCTGCAAGCTTTCCCCAACAAAATGTTGCTTGGTGTTGCAGCTGGGAATAGAGCCATGTTGCCATCCCAAGGATAATTGTGTTTAAGTGTTTTAAAAAAAACCATATAGCCGACTTCCTGAGATAAGGCTTATTGTTGAATAAAATAATAACCATTGTTTTTTAAAAAAACGGTGAAGGATGTTTTGAAGTGAGAAGAATATAGAAAAGGAGGATCAAGAATCCTCTTGAATCAACGCAATTATGAATTTAAACATCATTCTAAAACAGAGATAAGCTATCCAATCTCCCTGCATATCTGACAAGGACAAGGAAGTCCCCCGAAAGAAGCCTGAGCAATAAGTATAAACCAAAATTGAAGCAAAGAAAATTTTCCAATTGGAAAGTAGAAGTATTAGAAAAAAAAAAATATATCTTACATTAATTCTACCTCAAACAAGGAAAAGAATATGATTACATCTTCTAACTAGATTTGAAACATGAGCCAACTTACAACTCACTCGGAAATCAGTTAGGATCTAAAGAAAGTTCTAACTACATGAGAATTTTTTTTTTATCAGAATTTAGACATTTGTATTTTAATCATATTAAAAATAGTGAGATTTCCCATTCCTTGGGTGCAAGTTGTGCAAACATTCTATATGAAATACTATAAACGTATAAATGTATAACTGGAATGTATACAACTAATTAGCAGATAATTAGATAACCTAAACAGAAAAAGAAATCATTAGCAAACTCAAATACAAATAATAATCCTTACAGAAGATAATACTATAGGAAAATACGTCCATAGAAAACACCTTTAATGTTAACTCCACAAATCTTCATTATGCCAATTCAATAATGAACCTCAATACCAATTGAAAGTTGCATCATAAAAGTAATAAAATAAGTAATTCTATTTTCTCAAATTGCTATTACCTTCCAGCTTTCAACTGTGCCTGTTTTGGTGTTGAAGGTTATGTCCCATATATCTTGATGGCTAACTTTGATGATATCTCCTTGAGTAGCAGTCTGTAGAGCGTCACTGCCAATATTGATGGCCTGGACAAAATATTCAGCCATGAAATGGCAAATACCAAAATTAACCAATGCATTGAATTACTAGGCCTATGGGCATAATCTCCAATTCGAGTTAATGTGAAAGTTAAAAATTACATGAGGAGCAATTTCTCTCCTGGCAGGCAGATGAACTTGCGTAGATGAAATGATATGACCAGCTTCAACCCAACGGGTGGAGTTCAAAAGCTTAGCATCTATCGTCAGAAATATTTCTTCTGCAACAGACGAAAACCATAGAGAATACCATGGACCTGACTGAAAATCTATAGCATAGCTACTCTGGGGCTTTATAGGGGCAAGACTCAAAATTCCTGACCCAAGGTTGCATCCATCTGCATGGGTACTCCAGCTGAACTCCAATCCTTGTGTCGTTTCAAAAAAATGAGCATTTGTGATCTACAGGACAAAATTCAAGTAAGACATCGAGAACAACTCTAACCCGGGCAAATGAAAGTCTCCATGAAACATGAGTACCTCTAATTTTCCTTCACGTAGTGTCACCTTTATTGGCTGGTATAAGTACTGACTTCTGAAATAATCAAAGCCATGAATTGTGGTACAAATGAGTAAGCATTGAAATACAAGATGGAGTGCAAGAATGACATATTATATCAGCTCACCGTGTAATGCAGGATGAGGAGTTCTATCAGGCCATGTGAGGCCATTTAGACAAAAATTTAAGTCATTGGGAACATCCCCGAAGTCACCTCCATATGCCCAATGGTTTCTACCATCTAGTCCTTCTTTCAATAGGCCCTATGAGCAAAGAGAAAATTCTTTCAATCTTTTAAGATGATTTCCTAATGTAGAGAATTGTACCTTTTCAACCTCGTAACTTCCATTTGTAAAGCCAATTGAAAGGTCTGACTAGGATACAATATATATATATATATATTCTCTCCATAATTTCATGAATAAAAATGTTAATAAAGAGACCATGAAAATCATATACTATAAATGTAAATTAGGCATCAAACAGTCATCCCCTTTTTGACAAAAAATAAATAAATAAATAAATAAGTCATCACACATCCAATTAGCATGCTCAAGCCATACGTTGAGGAATTCAACAAGACAATTAAATGGGACGATTTTAGTCAAATTTGACATCCAGCACAAGAGAAAAAAATTAAAAAAAAAATCTATTTCAAAAAGAGCTATGTAATGACGCATCTAGGAGTAATAGATACCAATAAGATAATGGGAGAATTACAACCAGGTCCCAGACAGAAAAATTAATTACTACAAGGTTCATTGACAACTGAACTAAACTGCATTGGCAACTAGTTGTATTGTTAATACAGTTTAGTTCAGTTATCAATAAATCTTGCAGTAATTAATTTTCTTATGTGGGATTTCAATATAATTCTCCCTAAGATAATTCAATGGTCAAAATGTCTTGTTAAACATGGAAACTATAATTAAGTCATAATTCCTTATTTATTGACTGCAAGGAATAAGGAACAAGTATATTATGTACATAAATGCAATGAGGCTACAATAATAATTCAAGGAAAGTCAATTATGAAGTTAAAAAGGTTCCCCTCATCTTCCTCTTTAAGAATTGAATAATTTTGTGCATTGTGAAACACCAACAGCTTCACAAATGCATTGATGCATTGCCAACTGCATAGCATAGCTTTTTGGAACATTTGGCCCAAGCATCCCACTTGATTGTTAATAAGAGTAGGTGAACTACTGCAATGATTTTGTGATGTCTAAACAACCAGCATTTGTACCGAAAAAAACAAAAAAAAGAAAACAAAATCTGCCAGTGCCAATATTCAAGTTCCAGAGTGAAGTGTTTTGTTCTCGGACATGATCTTGGTGAGTTATCAATTTTCTGTAAACTCTGGGAACACTCACCTGATCAACCCAATCCCAAATAAAGCCCCCTTGAAGTCCAAAAGTGCTGTCAATTGCTTCCCAATAGGAATGTATATTTCCATTACTGTTTCCCATTGCATGAGAATACCTGTTATTTATGCATTATAGACATCAAAAGGCCATAATCATTACTGGGAATAGGAGACACTTGGAGGGGGCCATCATAGTTATCGACATCAAACTCAATATAGTAGGGTCATTTTAGCCAAAAAAAAAAAAAAAACATACTCGCATAGTATTAGAGGACGGATTTCAGTTGGATCATTGGCAATTTTGACAATGTCCCAAACACGCATATACATGGGGCACACTATATCTGTACTTGACGTTCTAGATCCACCGCCCTCATAGTGTAATAATCTTGTAGAATCTCTTCCTCGAACCCAACCTGATGAAAGTATTCACATTCAAATTAATGACAGAATAGGCACAAGATTAAACAAACAAATTAGGGGAAGAGAGAGAGGAGTGAAAGAAAAAAGTGGATAAGATTTGATAGAGGAAACTTTCCTAAGAAGGTTCTCATTAGAATATAAATCCGTCTAGATTGTGCTTATGTGCTGTGCACAGAATCTAAAGTGAATCACACTACTCATGACTTTTATATAGTGTAACTTCCTATAGATTTTAAATTACATAAAAATGTATAAATGTATTGAATTATACCTTCAGTCTTTATACATTTAGTGTATCTTCTTCAGCAAGTAATCATTCACTGGCCCCTTCCCCATATCCCATTCAGTTCAGGATGCAAAGTCCAAAATTTTGAGAGACTTCTACTGATGATAATTTCAATTTCACCTCATTTTTACCCCCCTTGAATTACTCTAAGTCTTTCATGTTTTACAATCTTGATTGCCAACAAAATTGATTTGATTGTCAATGCTGTCTCACATGAGTGGTATCAGTAAAACTAGAAAAATAGTGTTTGAGTATGCTTTACCAACTTTCATTAAGAAAAAAGGCAATTCTCTGGAACCAATTCATTGGAAGATTTACCTTCAATGCTTTAGAAAAATTTCATTCACTTTGAAAAGCATCCTAAACAAATGAGATAATTCAGATATCCTAATTAGCATAACCTAACTCAAGTCTAGTACCAGCTAAAGCAGAATGATTTGGTCCATATCCAGATTCATTCCCTAAAGACCAAGAAATAATGCATGCATGGTTTTTGTCTCTCTCAACCATGCCAATCACTCGATCCAACATTGCATTTGCCCAACTTGGTTCCAAAGTAGGGTGCTTGAGATGTTGAGAATAGTCAAAACCATGTGTCTCGATGTTGGCTTCATCTATCATATACATGCCAAACAGATCACATAGCTCATACCAACGAGGATGTTGGGGATAATGGCTATTTCTCACAGCATTAACATTGTTTTGCTTCATGAAGACTAAATCCTGCAAGCACAGCCATCATTAGTTTCTAAAATCATTTACTTGAGATAAAATGGATGTCAAAGAAACTATAACATGGGGGGAAAAAGAAACACAATACCTTGACCATGCAGGATTCTATGTTTGTCTTCCCCACACGTGGATGATGTTCATGCCTGTTCACCCCTCTTATTATGACAGCATGCCCATTAACAAGCATCTGTTTGCGGGCTTTAGATACTTTTCTAAAACCTACCGGACATGATTCACAATCAACAAGATGGCCAGATTGATCTTTGAGGACAACAACTAGGGTATAGAGGTGAGGCTGTAAGAAAATGCATAGTCAACCCAAAGACTACTTGTCAATAATTGAATGAGTGATGGCAAGCAACTCAGACATCTGTAGGATATTAGTAGCAGAGAAAGCATCATCATTGTTTGGGACTTTAATCCATTCTTAGCCAATTAAGTCAAAGATAGTAATGGCATTGGCAGGACCTTTTAAAAATCAATAACTAATACTTGAAAGTTCAGATCAAAGTTTTTGGCAAAAAAAAAAAAAACTATTTTCATCCAAGATCCAACCATGTAGAAAACCTAAATCATTATAATTTCTCACTTGCTCAGCAGACCAAAGCTTTGGTGATTGAATTTTCCCCACAAGCACAAAACCATGAAATCCTAAAGCTGTGCCTGAAGGCTGGAGCTTTACGTCTGCTACATGAGATGAAAGTAGATCCGGTATGCATCAGAGACAGACCAGTTTCCAGAATCATAGAGTGCTCCCTCTATGGTATAATTTGCAAGAACACTTTCTTTTGATGCCTCTTGGGAGTTGTCTAACTTAACTTCAACCTGGATAATATGCACATTGGCATATAAGGTGTCTCAAAGATAACAAAATTTCAACATAAATAACCTATTTTTCAAATAATATCAAGGCACCTATGAGACAATCAGGATGGATTGAACAAAGTAAAGATAAAATATAATAGTGTAAAATCATATTAGTCAATTCACGTGCAGAGAAAAAACAATGAATTTTATAACATCAGAAAAGTATAGATCACAGATATTTCAACAATTAAAGTATGGCAACATCTGCTCAACAGGTAGTACTATATGTAAATATGTGTGCATTTTATGAGGTTAACGTCACCACAAATAGATGCTTACCAGTATCTCTGCATAAGAAAAATCTTCAGCAAGGTTTGATTTGAAAAAATAGTCTGCAATAAATACCTACACATCAAATAAATTGATGCATATCAGCATCAACCAGCACAAATAGGCAAATGCAGGACAAATTGAACTTTCTGCTTGCTCAAAACAAACATTTAAATCAGATGATACATATAAATACTTTCAGACTTTTGGAGCAGGTCAAAAACATGCAAACTATAAATGAAGTGTATATCAGTGAGTCAGCAGTGAGTGATTCTTTTCTAACAGTCTAATTTAAAATTTCATCAGTCCTTGGGGGAAAAATAAGTACCACATGAATATAAGGTTTCTGATCTTTTTTGTCTTTTTGTGTTGAAGATTTAAAAAAAAAAAAACTTTTATTTGTCCTTCCATATGATATGATTTGAATAAATTGCTCCTTCAGCACATGAACTGTGTGAATCATAATTTTTCCCTGCTTATGCATTTTCAGAATTCCAATGAGCAAAAATGCCCTTACATTGAAACACAATGATGGTAAGGTAAGCAAGAAGTTACAGAGAAAAATAGACCTTGGGCTTTGCCAGAAGAAGCACATCACGGTGGATACCAGATAACCACCAATGGTCCTGATCTTCAAGATAAGAGCCATCACTCCATCTAAACACTTGAACAGCTAGAACATTCTCAAGGTTTGAACCGCATGGATGACAAAAATCAGTGATTTCAAATTCAGCAGGAAGCCTGCTGTCCTGACTGTCGTTGCAAAACATTTAAGCATTTTTTTAATGGATGCATCCAAAAGTTGATAAATGTCAAAAGCTTCATCCATAAAATCTCTTTACTTCATATAATAATCTATAATAACGTTATAACAAAAGGACATGCCCCTTTTATTTTTAGATGCCCCATGCCCTATTATTATGCCCAGAGATATTCCGAATTGTTTGTCAACAACAACCGATTATACAATTAATGAACCTTTGTACGGCTCCTCTTTGGTGCTCAGTCCATGGTTTATTCAAGTGAAACTCTATTTCTGATGAACAAAGAATTCAGGTACACGAATTAGCTTCTTGGGGTTTATGTTACTTTGTTTTGCTTTTGTACTTTTGTATTTTCTGATTTGAGGAATTCTTATCCTCAACATTTTGTACCTTATCCCCTTTCTATTGCAATATCTTCTTTTTATGGGGAAAAAAGAGAACCTCCAGTCATAGATGCAGCAGATAAAGTTTTTTCCCCATTTTGTTCACAAAAGATTGGGAAGTCCGACAGTGTTTAGAAAAATTATTACCATTGGCAACACTTAAAGGTTAGGATTCATTGATTCTTCTGTAAGTTTAAAGTAACCTCACACTTCTTAACTTCATTTCTCATGAAATAAACTACTGGATTAAAGTTTCCATTAAGAATATCGAGCACAATGGTATGAAAGTGAAAACATTTTCCTCTCTTCATTGTAAATGGAAGGTCATCTAATTCAAGTTTACAGCAACAGGTGCTTTAAGAAACTGACTGGAATGCGCTGGCATTTATTGCATCTTTAAAGAGAGGAAAATGTTCTTTTGTGCCAATGTAAAATGCACAGGATGCAAGCCTCCATATGAAAGTAAGAATGCATAAAATCTTCAAATAAGTGTCATTGAATACCTATATCCCACAGGGGACCCATTTATCCAAGCACAAAAAGCAGAATCAACACCTTCAAAGTGCAATAAAATTCTTTTACCTGTCAAAAGTCAATAAAAAATGCATTTTGAGTAGTTTTAAAAGTTAAATGCAATAGTAAAAAAAAAAAAAAAGAAATGAATAGATAGTGACTTAAGTAAATAAGGATAACAAAACAATAGGATTTTTGCAAAACATCAAGTCAAGCTATCTTTTCAGACCATGCAAAAAGTCAATGCAACTAATGATATAAAAAAACAGAGGAAACTTCACATTATTCACACAATAAGAAATTGCAAGTAATAACTAATAGACACCATAACTAATTTATTTATTTATTTTTTTGAAGAAAAAGGACAGGAACAAGGGACTTATCAAATCAAATCCCTCTAAAGTTTATGTCAATCAACCAAAAATACAGAGACAATATGATAACATTCCAAGAAAATTGACCAGAACATACCCTCCCACTCTTTAGGAATGTGGAATTCAATCCTGTAGCAGCCTGTAGGATTCTCTGTGGGAACAAAAGGAGGATCCATTGGAAATGGATAGTCTGTATTTGTATATATAGGGCGGTCAAACCCATGTAGCTGCCAATTTGAAGGAACTGTCCAATTTAGAGAAAAGAACCCAAAGACAGAGGAAAGATTAGCCCTTGTGATTATAAAAAAACATATCAAGTGATGATGAATTTAAAAAGGGAATTGCTATCTCTCTTATGAAATAAAGTGAATTCACTAACCAAATTCAGAATCCCACACAGCCAATTAGAACCAAAATGAGGCACCAACACAGCAATATTATAATGCCCTAGAGTGGTAATACCATTATTTGTTTGCTACATCCCTCAAGACAAATTTCATTGTCCTTATTTACTGTACTTCTTTTGTCAACTTACAAGTAAAGAAAGTTGATATGATTCTTAGTATGATAAGAAAATAGTTTCCATGATGATGTGATGCCCTTTATAACAAAATAAAAGACTTGCTTAATTCTGTGGAAGTTCATACGTGACATAGGAAATAGGAATGAGGGAGAAACTGCATAAAAGAATGTGATTATAAAGTATATAGGCACTGACATAAAAACTAACCAGGCAAAGTGTTCCACTCTGAGTCCTGGAATTCACTTTCATAAAATTTTATGGGGACGCTAGTAGGGCTTGCGGCCAAGAAAAATTTCCAGTATCCAGACAAGGACTTAACAAAGGGTAAGTCTTTGACCCAAAATGCAGCACAATCAAGAGCTCCAAGAACAGCATCATCATTCCAAGTAGCTGACTTGGAAACGAGGAAATCTACTTTGCTGCGATCATACCAGCACCTCAGTGATCCTAATCATATCAAAGAACGTCAGAAAACCACAAAAAAAAAAAAATTAAGATCCAATGAGATGCAGTATAAACAAATTGAAAAGTAATAGTATTCTTTACATTAAAAATATTACAAAAGTCTCAAGAGTTAAAATTCTCAAACTAATTTCACATACTTTATTCATTATATGTCTCATAAATCCATAATCTATACCCCCATGACATAAATTAAACCAACTTGCCCTTAGTAACTCTTGTTTTGGGGTAGTGGGTGCATGGGAGATATAAGAGTGCACAACGCCACGCTATCTTCGATTCAAAGGATGCAAAGAACAATAATTAACAGAATACTTAACTCCACGCTAGTTCAAAGCAAGGAAATTAAAAACTGCATCTTTACACCAAGTTCGGAACAAATTGTCAAACAACCAACGCTTCACATGCTAAATCAGCATGGGAGGCTATTTATGTCTATTTGGTTATTTCAACAGTGAAAATTATTGCATTGTCACTACAATTCCAAACAGATAATTTCACTAATACGTCCAAAGATTATCATTGATTCATTTCTCTATGAATTGCTAAAAACAAGTCAATCAAAATTCCAGATGAAATATGTGAAAATCTTATCCTTTTCCATCCAAATTGTTCATCATTTTCCCTGATCAGTAATAATGAACAATCCGGTGATGAGGGCACAGTCATCAATTTTCAAACCTCAAACTACCAAGAATTTCAGCAAAACCAAATGAAAGGCCAGAGCTTTTCGACGGCATTTAAGCTATTACTGTAAATCCCAAGATATAAGAGTTCGCCATCGAGCCTCACCTTCAACTGAATCATGGCAATGCAAAGTAACGTGGGGTTCTCTTTTTCTCCACTTGATGAACGATGGATCCTCCCACACTCTGTGACTATGAACATCGGGAGGAAATACGATTTGCCCAGTCAAATTAGATGACATCAGCAACACGAAGAGGAGAAGAGAGTGAGTGAAGAAGAGGAAGAAGAAGCTCGTTGTCGAGGATCAGTCAGTCAATGCAGTACGCTAGTGGAACTGCCGCTGCTATTTAGTTGGATTGAATGGATTGGAATGAAATCTGATGAGCCATGTATCGCCGTTTAACAAGTCAAATAGTCAATACAGAGTTTCCAGTGGCCAAGGCCAACGACCCGTCGTTTTAGGTCTGGCTGAAATATAACTGCAAGAATTTCCACGGTGAGAACACCCCTGTTATGATAGTTCTTTGGCGCATTTTGTTGAGTAAGATTTTATAAATATGAGTGATTGTTTGATCTAACAAACTATTCTTTTATAACGAGCTTTTTCTTTAAATTTATGATTAATATTCTAGTGTTTTTATTGAAAAATTAGTGTCATAAAAAGAGTTATCTATAAAGGATTTTAGATTTTGATTGATAGGAAATGAAGTAAAGTATCATGAAGTAAAACTGACACTGATGGCCACTTTCAATGAGTGGCATCAACATATTCTACCTCTTAATTAATAGGAGATCAAGTGAAATATAATAACATTATCGAGAATGGGTAGGACATTATCACATGTTCCATATCAAAAGCTTTCAAATTTAAGTTGAATTTATAAGTACTATAGGCTCCCTCTCTTTGAATTTATATTCATGACGCATTTTAAATAATAACATTTGAAGCTGAGGAACGTGTTTTATATTTATTTTATATTTATATTTGTGTTATAATTTTCTTAAATTAAAATATATTAATTAACTATATATTTATTTAATAATATTTTGACATAAATATAATTCAATTATGAAACTATATAAATAGACGTAAGAATTATATATTTATTATAGTATTTTTTACAAATTTTAATATACTTTTGAAAAAAAAAATTGTTGTAATAACGGTCCGAATTCCAATTTTCCAAGGATAAATTAGCTTGCAAGACATGTAACAATAACCTCAGACGGTGACATTGAATGTCCTAGAATTTTTCATTATTTAATGATAGGAATTGAATCAGTTAAATGCTACTATATCCACCGTGGTCATCATCTAATCATTCTCAATGATTGAGATAGTTATTGAAATTTAATACCATAAAGCTTTATCCTTTAATGGCTTGATTAGGCAGCAGATTTTTTTATGAGTTAATAAGTAAATAGGATCATAAACTCTTGCTTAAAAATCACCTTGGATCCTGAACTCTTAAAATATGAAAAATAAACCTTAAACTTTTAAATTCATAGCAAAATAAACCCTAATCATTAACTTTTTAACACTATTACTGTTCACGTAGGTACTATTCAAGGTTTATTTTCCTACGAATTTAACCCTGATTGTTACAGTACCTGTGTGAATAGTAATGGCGTTAAAAAGTTAATGATCAAAATTTATTTTGCTATGAATTTAAAAGTTTAGGGTTTATTTTTTATATTTTAAGAGTTCAAAGTCCAGAGCGATTTTCGAGTAATAGTTTAGAATCCTATTTGCTCATTAACCTTTTTTTAACACTGATATTTATTTCTTTAGGTTTAGTGTTCACAAACCAATGAAAAACAAAAAATTCTTAATTAATTAATTAATTTGAGGAAAGGTTTTTTTCTCTTAATTCACAATATAACAGAATCCAATAATACCTTACTTGAGGAATCAAGTGTTGACCAATTAGTATAACTCAACTAATAAAAAGTTGTGCGAGATTAATTAATAAGCTTGAATTTGAGTCATGATAATTTTATAAAAAAATTTATTGAAACTTGAAACACCTAACCCAATTTTAAGGATGAATACACACATATAGAGATATATATATATATATATGTATACTTCTTCCTATCCCTATTATAGAGTACCTTGAGAAAAATATTTAGTATTTAATATAAGTCATATAGAGAATTATTAATTAATATTTTCAAATTTTTCTCCTAGCAAAGTACTAAAATGAAAATTTAAATTTAATTTAATATTTCTACATGGCCCCTTGAATGTTATATTTTACTCTCTTTAATAGACATAAATTTAGAATATTTTTTAAATTTTAAGATGAATTTAAGAAATAACATAACTTTTAGTCTCTACATTTTGCAAGCGATTTGCTACTAGTTCCTACATTTTATTTTTGGTATTCTAGGTCTCTATAGTTTTCTCCGTCTGCAGTTTAGGTCCTTACATTTTCAGAGGGATATTGACGTGACATTAATGGTGTTAATTATGTTGATGTAGACAATAACACCGTTAATTATATGATGACGTGTCAATTAGTGGTTGATGCGTATTTTTTTAGGAAAAAAAGAAAGAAAAGCTTATGTATGTTCTCTTCGATCTTTATTATAAAATACTTTTAACTGTTTCATGCATTTTAAGAAAAGTTGATTTTTTTCTTAATATAATAAAAAACTAATATGTATTTTAATTTTTATCATTGACTTCAAATAATGATACAACTATATTAAATACCTTCACGTTAATCAATAAAGAATAAAATTAAAAAAATATTTTAATTACTACAAAGTGTCTTATATTTTGAACTAAATTTTTTTTCTAAAATATGTCCTGTAAATGGGACTTGAGGGAGTATTTTTTTTAATAATCAAAAAATGAAAAAAATTTGTCCTAACTCCAAATTTGAATAATATATTTTATATACATTAAAAAACAATAAACTATCATGAATCTAACCCCAAATCTTACTTTAGAACATAAAATCATAGGAAAGGCACCCTGAAATATAAAATTGTAACAAACTTAAAAATGAACACATAACATTTTTTTTCATAGCCTTAAATCTTACTTTTTTATATATAATAATTATTAAAATATACACATTGTCGGCTTTTCTTTCTTTTTTTTCCCTAGAAAAAAATATATATTAGCCACTAACTAACACACCACTAGATAATTAATAGTTTTATTGTCTACATCAGCATAATTAACACATTTAATGCCATTTTAAACCCTATGAAATTGTAGGGACCTATAGTGTAGACGAAAAAAATTATAGAGACTTAGAACATTAAAAATAAAATGTAAGGACTAATAACAAATCACGTGCAAAGTATAGAGATTAAAAATTATGTTTTTCCTGGATTTAATAATTTAACCGCACTTCCTTGATTCTAGTAAGCAGGGTGTGTGTATAAAAGAGAAAGAGATGAAATGGGAATCAACTCAACTCAGTATTCATTATTGTCATTATAATATGACAATTTATTTATTTATTACATTGATGATATCATCATGATCAAGAGAAGACATGGGCAGTGAATTGAGTTGATGAGGTCAGATAATTAATTATTGAGGTTTTGAACAACAACAGAAGTAATTCTGAGGAGGCACACAGTTTCCACTTGGATAGCCATGTTGCTTGCAGTAATCATCACAGTTTGGAAAGGCTTTGCATGTTCCAGGGCATTGTGGCGGTTCCTGTCCTCTCACACCTGCATTTTTACATAATCATATATAATACTTTCATTTTATTATGCCAAGAATAAAAGTAATACTTATAACCAGAGACAGAGTGAAGACCTAGAATGGGTACTAGAGAATTTAATTTAAAAAATAATAATTTAATAATTGAAAATGATAGGGTAAAAGAGCAAATTAGTCCTTAAACTAGATATTAAAGACCGTTTGAGATCCTAAACTTATTTATTATGCAATGTTCCATTTTACTTTTGAAACCGATACAATATAGCCCTATTACTAACAAAAGTTAATTTTGACAAGATAGAAAAGAATCTCAAACATTATAGAGAATGTCTTTTTCTATAATTTTTTGGATCCTTATCTTATCTATAATTTTTGAATCTTTCACTATTTTTTATCATTTTTGTTATCTTCTAATCAACTAATAGTCAAAGTTAAATCTTGTTAATAACAAGGCCAAGTTATATCATTTTTAAAAATTGAAGGGAATGATATATAATAAATGAGTTTATGATTTCAAACACTTTGGACCTCTAGTTTAGTGGCTAATTTTCTCTTTTTTCCAAAATAATAATTAGATTAGGACTAAAATTATAATAATATGGGTAGATTGATTATATTTTTACATATAAATATATAAGACTTTCATTTTATTAATTACCAAGAATAAAAACAATAATCATAACCATAATCAATTGGATTTGCTAGCTAGAAATCTTATGTGTGTGTTCTTTCCAATTTTGAAACTAATTTCTCGCTCATAACATATAAACGACAGAGAATGTACCTTTTCCAACGACGCCGTTTAAGTATTAAATATTTGGGATAATAAAATTTTTAATCTCTTAAATTAACCTTAATTATTGATTTGATCATTTAAATTTAATTTTTATCAATGTAATTCTTTAAGTTTGCCTTTGTGATTGATTTAACAATAAAGAAAAGATAACACTGTTTAAATCTCTTGATATGAATAATAGAGCCATGTAAATTAATGAAAAAGTGTAATTATTTAGATAAAAATATAAACTCAAAATTTTAAAATATAAAAGGACAAAATACAACAACGAGATAAAAAATAACTTATTTCGCGGCTAATTTATTCTTATTTAGCTCCATACATGCAAGCCAAGTTATTAATATGCTTTATATATTATATTGATTTTGAGAGTCAAGTTACATTTTAAAATTTAAAGGACTAATATGACAATTTAAGAAAATAAAAAGGATTAAATTAACAAAAATTCAGGCAAAAGAATTGAAAAAAATTAAACTTGAAAGATCAAATTAATAATGAATGCAAACTGGAAAAACAGAAAGTTTCATTCTCTTAAGTATTTTTATATAATACTTTTCATTTTATAAGGGAAAGAAGGGGAGAAAACCATCAAACATAATAATTAATTATTATACATAATAAAAAAGTTTTGGACGCACCAAATGAGAAGAAGAGCATAATCACCATAGCTGCAAGCAGAAATTTCTTTGCAATGGTTGAGGAAAGAGGAAGCGACATTTTTGTGAATCTTCAAATATACTTGCTTTGCCAAGTTCTATGTATGTGTATTTATACACACATTATTAAACAATGATTTGTCACGCGTAATATCATATAATATAAATGGTCATGCTTTAATGACATATGCATGCACCACTTTAATTTATTTATCATCAAAAAGT